CAGTGTGCCATGTGACTTGGCCTAATAAAATTGACATACCATTGCACACAGGTTTATAGTCCTCCACAGAGGTCCTTCAGACCTATATTTGTGAGTTGGGCGTGAGAGAAGCAATATACGAAGAAACATTTGAGAGTCTGGACTTGGCAAAATTTTCAGCAGGCATGAGAGACCTGATTTTCAACAGGCTCCTTCCCACCTTATGGAACACTTGTTTCCATACTGAACACCCTATTGACCTCAAATGCCATTGTCCAACATGCTGCCCTGCTGGTAGCTGATTTGGGGGAAACAGCAACTAAGAACAAGGAGTAATGTTAGGGTGGTAGAAGAAGCCAGGGTTCTTCCAGTTAAGAGCAGGAAGGCTGCCCCACAGGCACCCCAGTCAGGCCCCATCTGTCTCAAAAACAAATGTTTAATGATTTCATATGGGCTGGGGTGGCCTTTGCCAAGATTGATCAGCAGCCTAATCATATTTTACTTCAATTATGGAAAAACGAGGAAATGAACAGAAATTTCAAAATACTCCCAAAAGATCAGGAGTATGAATAATTCAACAAATGCCAACGAGAACTTTGAATTTAGAGGACTTTACAGTCCCTATTAGAAGGAAAAAGCCTCCTCAGGTGACTCAAGCTATGATGTCTGAGCCACCTGAAGAAAAACACCTGTTCATAGGACAGTTTATGATGTGGCAGGATATTAGTTCCCCTGTACCTAGGACCTCCGGACAGGACCAGAGGCTCTATGTTGAACTGACAATCTTTGGTCCCGAAAGAATATACAAAGGATTATGGAGTTGGCTGACACGGAAGCAGAATCATCAATTGTTTATGGAATCTGTCTAAATTCAATGGAGACAGTGATGATTATTGGCTTTGAGGGCCAGTCCATTCCAATTACCCAGAATGTGGTTAAAATTGGGGGTTAGGCATCTCCTGCCCCAGGAATAAAAAATGTCTATGCCAAGATGTACTCTGGGACTGAGGCAATAGACATTTTATAGGGTCTGACTCTCCAGATGACTGTGGGAGAGTTCAGACTCCAATAGAGGTGCATTAGTGTCCAGGTAGTGCATGCAATATTATGAGGCCATGTGAAGCATGAGCCTATTTGTCTGCTGAAACCACACTGGATTACTAATGGGAGACAGTATAGACTCCCAGGTAGACAAGAAATAACAATTTCTTGTATCAAGAAATATTTCTTGATATTCTTGAATTTTTTCATATCAAGAAATATCATGAAATATCAAGAATGGTGCAAGAATTAGAAAAAGTTGGGGCTAGAAGACCTGCACATAGCCTAAATAATTCCCCCATTATGGCCAGTGCAAAAGTCAGATGGAGAGTGACCCTGGAATGGACTATTCATGCCCAACCAATCTGGAGCAGAGATATGTGGTTAGATATATGGAATGTAGTTAAATACAAGACTGTACATATCTACCATGTTTCTGGTTATCAGTCCCTACAGTCACCGGGAAACGACGAAGGCGACACGCTGGCCCGAGTTCGATGGATTGAGAATTCACCATCTGAGAACATCGCCCGCTGGTTACATCAGAAGCTGCGGCATGCTGGACCAAAGGCAATGCGGGCAGCTGCTAAAGCATGGGGACTGCCATGCAATGATCTGTCATCGCCCAGGCATGCCGAGACCATGGCACTTGCTCCAAGATGAGACAGAGATCGTTGCCCAAAACACCAGCCCACCTTGCTAGAGGACACAGTCCTCTCCAGCAATGGCAGATTGATTACTTTGGGCCCCTCTCTTGGTCTGAGGGGGCAAAATACACCCTGACCTAGCAAGTGGGCTACTGCAGGCCTATCCAGTGCCAAGAGCAAACCAAGCATATACCATCAAGGCACTTAATAAACTGATGTCTGCTTACAGGACACCTCAAGTGAACAAGAGGGACCAAGGGACTCATTTTACTGGTGCAGTGGTACAACACTGGGCAGAAGAAAACAACATTGAGTGGCGATTCCACCTGCCATATAATCTGATAGGGGCAGGCCTTATTGAACACTATAACAATATTCTTAAGGCTGCCCTGAAGACAGACTCTCAGACTCTACAAGGGTGGACAAAGAGACTCTACAAAACCCTGCGGGATCAGAAATGGCAGACCCAGTGCCCTGAAAATGCTACAGACAACATGGGCCACCATGGGCAAATTACGGGCACTGGTAATTGGATAAGACCCCAAATTGGCAATGAAAATAATCTTCTGTCCCCTGCCCCTGAGCATCTAGAACCAGGTACCCATAGGATAAAATGGCCTTGGAAGGTGCAGGTAGGACCAAAGTGATGTGGCCTGCTTGCAACTTGGAGGAGATTATTGGAGGTGGGAGGCCTGGTAGTCCCTCCAATAATAGGTACATGGCCTACTGATATGGTGGTCAGCACCCTGGTCTTCATTGCTAAGGGCCCCTCCTCATATCCCTGTGGCAGATCAGGACCCCCTTTGGTGCCTGATACAGTTATGAGCCACAGATATCTGGCCAAAGGTTGTGATACAGGTGGCTGGGACATCCCCAGTGTAAGCTGAAGTGTTGACCCAAGATAGGAATATGGCCTGTATTTTGCCCTGGAGGGCAGACCTTCCCCTCTGAAACATCTGTGCTACTCTCTGTGAGTCTTTGAGTCTCTAGGATCACTGGAAGGATGAAATGGCATTGCAGCGTTCCAGCGTCACTGTGACATCAAGCACGACACCCAGTGATGGCCTTCGTGGGACCGGTGGGACTGATGGAACATAGGATGGACCTGCAGCAAACAACTGCATGCCTCCAGTAACACCATCAAGCACTGGCCCATGGGAGAACATGAACCCCAACCACAAACCAATCATCAATTGTCTTACACTGTGTCAACCTGCATCGTGATGGGCAATTGTATAAGTGTTAGGGTGTGTTGGATCCCTGTATTAGGGAAGGCTCACCCTCCAGCTGGCTCAATCATTGGTCCATGCTGTGAAGGGGTGCAGTGTATGGGAACTGCTGAGGCACAGCCTGAAGCACTGATTGATCACCTGGGAAAGGACTGGGTCAGCCCTGAGAGCTCAGGTGAAGGCAGTTCAACTGTGTGACTGGAAGGGGTGCAGCCTGGCTGCATGTCTCTTAGACCCCATTTAAGGACTGACTGCCACTGGGAAGGATCTCTTTCTGGAGTTCTCTCCCTGGTGGATCTTTCCCCTGTGAATCTGTAATCTTCTGATATGGGTAAGCAATCTTTTTCCCTTCCCTCATAGCACCTTTCAATTGTGTCAATCCTGTGTCATTACACCTTTGGTGAAACACCTTTTCCCATCATATTGATCAGTCCAATTGCTACAAGCTAATCAAGAATTTTCTTTTGAGAATAAAAATTACTGGGTCTATTCTTTCTGTCAACTTAGTCAGTTGCCCAGCAAAACAAATCAGACAGCATCTTTGTAGCTATTGTAGTGCAGTGCCTCTTCCCTAGGTACAATCCCTGTGAGTCTGATAGGAAGAAAAAGTCCCTTTGCAATCATTTTAATACTGCCTAGGGAATGCTCAGCACATTGCTCGTGGTAGAGGCGGGATGCCTCTGCTGCATGAGGCACATATGTGCTACGGACATGGAGTAAAACCAATGAACAGCTATGCTGGAGCAGAGCAGCTGCTGCACGTCAGCCAACATAATGCTTGAGCATTGCTTCAGGATGCATAGCTCAGTGCACACATAAACCTAGGAGCCAGGAAGTGCTGCTGAGTCCTGAGAAGTAGACATAGAAAGCTCTAGGTCTGAGGAGAACTGACATCCAGGTCAGTCGGGGTCAAAATGAAACTGAGACCAATATTCTTGCTAAAAGGATGCCACCACACTCAAATTTAGGAGGTTGCTTTGTAGCTCCAACTGCCTCCTTTTTACTGGATGAGGAAACTCTCATTAACCTCGGAAGGAAGATAAACATCAGTTATGATTCTCATTTTATGGAGAAGTGAGTTGCAGTAGAAGTTTTGGTCACCTTCTGAGCTTGCATTTTGCTTGCACTGGAAGATTATATGATGCTCACATCTGAGATTATCAAATGTCTGCTTAAAATTCATAGGGATGATTCATACCTCAGTTATGGAAAAAAATACCAAGGGGAGAGCTTACCATTAATTTACCCTGTATCTCCTTTTCAGGATAACAGTTCCAGTTATAAAAACTATCTAGCTTGTTACTTTATTTTTCCATGCAGAAGAACACCAATATATTGATCATGCAAAGCATCAGTGTTGTCTCTGGGCACAACAAAACAACCTTTTTTAAAATTAATTTTTACTGAGAGAACCCAAGATTCACTTCAAGTTATTCATGCATGTACCAAAACAGAAAGAAAGCTTGTCTTGTGGTTGAGGTGCTAAAACAAGAGCTTATGGTGCTTCAGCTCACTTCCTGCAAGCCTGAGAAAGCCCAAGCAAAGTGATTTCCACCCCAAGAGTCAAACAAGTAAAACAGGTTGGAAAGGGCCAGTCCTTGAAAAGCAGCATGGGGTTTAGGTAAACAAGCATTACATAAAACAAAACAAGCAACTGTGTAAATGGGGACTGCACAGCTATTTTGGACAGGCAGAATTTTAAGCATATCAGCAGTTTCTCAGCATCTCCCTCTTTATGAGCTGATGAGCACCTCAGGCCATTTATTGGTTGACATTTTCTCCCCCCCCCCCCCTTCCCCATTTTATTTTTTTTATTTATTTTTGCTATTGTTGAGATACTTGGTTGCAGTAACATTGATAACAGCCTCAGTCAGTTGCTAATCCCTCGGCAATTGGTGCTCTGACTCTGAAGGATTTTAGGCTGAATAGATTCAAACCCTCTGACTTCTGACAGCTCTGTTAAACAGAGAAGAATGGAGCCTTGATACAATTTACAGAAACTGCTTCGGTAAGGGATATAAAAGCAGCCTGATATATGACAGCTTTACTGTGAGTGGAGTTTCACAGTGGCATAAAAGTGAAATGAAGAGGCTGTGAAACTGACCTCAGGTCTACTTCGCAGCATCAAGAGCAGTGGTGACATGTCAGCCGTGCCAACATTCATGCATATGAAGTGTCTGATGGAGTCAGAAAGAATGCAGCTCACAGGTGTTCATGTGCTGCTACCTGAGCACACACAGTGCAAAGAAATAAAATGCAGTTTAACCATGATGTTCCCTTTAATTTGTCTTCTAGAGCAGCACTGCTCTGTCATTCAGTCATTTCACGTTAGCTTTTCACGTATTTTTCTCCAATCCTGTTTAGCATTATTGATTTCAACAGGCACACAGAATAATGAACAGAATACTGAAATGACAGAACTTGCACAGACTGTCTATGTCTTTTCCCTGATACCGGCACCAAGTAAGTGCCAAACACACCTGAAGCGTGCATGCACCATGAGGAAGGAAGGTCCCTATCTGCCTATGGTAGTTGAAGCAGAGTGCACTCTGCATTCCTTTGCCATTACCCTCTACAGCAGCACTTTAAAGTGAACTACATAGAATCATAGAATGATTTAGCTGTGTCAGAATAGAGGTAATCTGGGCTGATACTATCATATTACTTGTGTAACTTACAACTTCAGCTTCATTGCCAACTATTAGCTTACAAGAGCCAAGTCTGAACTAAGAAGCAATGTATCCCTTATGGAAGACATAGTTCTAAAGGCAATTAGTGTGATTTAGGAGGGCTCCAGTATTGCACAAGCATTGCAACACTTCAGTAAGAAGCGAATGGCTTTTGTGCTTTTGCAGTGCATTTTAAAATAAACAAAGCTGAACATCCCCATCAGAAACACATCAAGGCTTAAACTGTAAGTGCAGAGTTGTTTGGCAGCACTGAGGCCTCCCTCTGTAAAAGAGGAACGGGGAACTGGAGTAGAGCCTTTCTCAATAAAAATAGCATCATCGGCACCTGAAGTTAACAGTTCTGCTTCATGCTCTCTTCTGAGACAAATGTACCTTCCTCCATCCATCTATCTATGAAATTATAAGAGAATGCTGCAGCTCATAATAGGTCTCTGCTATGTTGGTTCATCACATTTGTTCCGTGTCAAGTCACTTCAGAGTGTTTTTCACTAAGGCAGCTTGCAGGTATGCAGTTGTCACTGCCCTCATGGCTCATATCTGGATACTTCTGTGCCTTTTCTGAACACACTGATGGTCTCTTCCCATTAGTTTGCTTTCTTTCAAAACAGGACACAGAATCACAGAATGGCCAGGGTTGAAAGGGACCTCAAGAATCACAGATCTCCAACCCCCTGCCACAGGCAGGGCCACCAAACTCCACATTTCATACCAGACCAGGCTGCCCAGGGCCCCATCCAGTCTGGCCTTGAACACCTCCAGGGATGGACGGGGCATCACAGCCTCTCTGGGCAGCTGTTCCAGCACCTCACCATTCTCATAGGAAAGAACTTTCCCCTGAGATCCAACCTAAATCTTCCCTCCTTCAACTTAAAACCATTTCCCCTTGTCCTGCAGTTATCTCCCCTTTCAAAGAGTTGCTTCCCCTCCTGTTTGTAGGCTCCCTTTAGGTACTGAAGGCTGCAATGAGGTCACCCCGCAGCCTTCTTTTCTCCAGGCTGAACAAGCCCAACTCCCTCAGCCTGTCTTTATATTGGAGGTGCTCCATTCCCCTGATCATCTTTGTGGCCTCCTCTGGACCCTCTCCAACAGCTCCCTTTCTTTCTTCTACCAGCACGGTAACTGCCTAAATCTTTATCTATTCTACTTTGAAGTCAAACAAACAGAACAAAGCTATGAAGTTGAATGGTACCAAGATCCTTACATAAGGCAGGTGCAAAAATAATTGGTACATATTGCCGCACTGGATAAGGAAACCCTCTGATTAAGAGAAGAAGCTGTAAAGGTAGTCACATTCAGTATTAAACAACTTGGTTAACTCAGACAGGAAATTATCCATTTGACATTAAAATGAACAGCAAAAACAATCTCCTGCTTCACTAAGCACAGTTGGATCTAGATTTCTTCGGCACAGTTCTTCCAGGTGGCAGTTGTTATGCTTGCATATCATTTCTGTCTGGTAGGAAACATTCAAATAAGTCAAAGTTTGAAAAGCAACCATATGCTTGCTAAACGGAAAACAACCGTCTGCTTTTGCTCGCTTATACATTGCTCTTATTTGCCATCCATGTTCTGACAACTCAGTTTATGCCCACATAGTTCACAAGCAGGTTGTGCACAGCAGAATCGCGTTCCCTTGTTTAATACAACACAGTTGAATCTTTAGGAACAAACAAACAAAAAAACCAAAAAAAACTAGGTTGGATGTCAGAGGGAAGTTCTTTCCTATGAGAGTGGTGAGGTGCTGGAACAGCTGCCCAGAGAGGCTGTGATGCCCAGTCCATCCCTGGAGGTGTTCAAGGCCAGACTGGATGGGGCCCTGGGCAGCCTGGTCTGGTATGAAATGTGGAGTTTGGTGGCCCTGCCTGTGGCAGGGGGTTGGAGATTTGTGATCCTTGAGGTCCCTTTCAACGCTGGCCATTCTGTGATTCTGTGATTTATTCTCTGTCCAAGGAGATCAATAAAACAAGCAGCCCTAGTCTTCCATTGCAAGTTAAAGCTTAGTAGGAAACATCAACCAGAAAACCTTTCTGACAGACTCTTTGTGTTAAGGATGGGTGCTTGCGTGTACTGGTCCCTGCTCCTGTTCTTAGCTGCATAGCTCAGAAAGAACTGCACATTTTTTGTAGGAAAAATAAAGCAAAGGGCTACAGTGATTGACTCCATCCTCTTCAAAATGCTTTGCAAATATGAAAAAAAGAATATGCTTGGATTCTTTTAAATGAAAACGGATGTGAAAGCCAAGAGGAGCATAAAACTAGCTCAAAAAAGAAAGAGTATTTATTGGCTTGCTCAAAAAATAACAACAGAAGTAGCAGCAACTACTTACTGAATGCTAGAGAAACAGCAACAGCCTTTAGTTTCTAAAAGTGGCTTTTGCAGGCTTATCAAGAACATAAAATGTCTCATGATGAAAAAAAGACATACTGGGGAAGGCTCTTATTTCAAAGAATTGAGAGTAAAAAGTTGCAGCAAAGCAACCAAGGCTCAGCTGTGGATAATTTTGGCAAGAAGGAAGAGATTGCCCTTCACCAGATGGCTAGGTATAAAATAACAGGAGTGGGATCCTATCAGAAAGTAGAGGGAGGGAAATAAAGAAGTTTTGCTGTTAATCAAATGTTTGTGGGCCACTCTGGCAACTGTGTTTTTTTTCTAAATGGTAGCTGATATTTGGGGGTTACATTTCCTTAAGATGGGGAAGCATGTTAGAGAAAACCATCGTTCCAAAATTTTCAGAGTTCTGGCATTGTTGTTTCAGATACTTGAAAATAGCTACAGAGCCTGTGTTTTGCTAATTTACACTGTAAAAACCTTTCTTTTTCAACAGATTTGTATCTGTGCTCAAATAAAATTCCCATCTCTCCATTTTGCTCACAAATGGGGCATTCCTTTAATTAAGTGAAGTGGAGGCAATTGTATGCTTGTAGCTCCGTGATACAAGTGGCAATTACAAATAATATTCAGAGAATTATGACCATTTGAAAGCCATGCCTACTTTGTTCTAGTCCTTCCTATCCATTCTACTCAACAAAAAAGTAGAAGACAAGCATATCAAATGGGGAAGGAAGGAAAAGATTTATTACAGTTCTGACTCTGTATTTTCCCAAAGGAAATTATAACTATCAGGTACCCAGCTGATTCTTATAATGCAATTTTCTTGCTGTTGGAAGCTGCCTGTTGGTTAAATAAATATTATATATGTGGACAAAATTGTACTTCCCTGGCATGACAGAAAATTTCTACCTGAGATAGAAAGGCAGATTTGTCATGGTCTCAGAAAAACTTTGAACAAGAAAAGCCATACTTCTGGCCCCATTTTAACGATTATTTATCTTGTATTATGTGGCAATCGTGTCATGAGAACTTACTTTGGAATGCAGTTCCAAACTGACGCTTGCTTAGGACAGTGTTGATTTCTGTACAGAAGTAATGGGGCTATACTTGAAAATAAGGTTCTGCGATTTGCTTAATAAAGAAATCTCTACCAATTGTTAGCATGCCATCAACTATAAGCACATTAATTTAAATCTAAAGAAAATCCAAGCAGCTGATTTCTTACTCCTCTCATGCAAATGCTTTTGAGTATTTGAATATGTCTACATCAAAAGAAACCAGATTTTTAGAGAGCCAGTTAGCTTGAGTTGCCAAGTCAACGAGTTCTGGTAAGGTCAGTCTGTCACAACAGATCTGATTATTACACAGTTATTTTCTTTATGTTTGCAGGTTTCTCCATATGCTTTAAGATGGAAAGGGTAGTGGGATAATGCCCTTCTGCTGAATTTGCTTGTAATACGCATTCTTTCTTACTCTGAGTGAAGAATGTTGTGAGAGGGGCAGAGTGCAGATGGTCAATTTTTAAGTTGGTGCCTGTATGACCTGTTTAATCTGCATAATTAGAAAATAGGAAAATTGTCTATGATGCTTGTGCTGACTTCATTTCTAGGTCTTTTTGAGCTCATTTAAAGTATGGTAACGAGAAAAACATTTTACCTTTGGGCAGCAATCTGATTTGTCAGGAAATTCCTCTTTCTGTGATGGGTGGATGAGGAAAATCTGGAATAATGTGATCCAGATGTTGAAGCTTCCATTTAGCAGCAATATATATGTATTATTTTATGGAATTGTCCAGACCTTAAAGTATTAATAATAAATCAATACTGGAATTTTCAACTGTAGGAATAGATTCGTATCTTTCATCCACATGACAGAATATTTCTGCGTTTCAGCTAGAGGCTAAAAGTATGAAAATTAACAGCAAGACAAACACAACACTTAATAAGGAATTTTGAAACAGTTAATGCAAATGCATGCTAATTGGCCTGTTTATAGGACTACCCAGGAGAAGGCTGTGATACCATTTTTCAGCTAATTAGGACTCCATTTTAGAGTGAATGTTGTAACAAATCTCTAATATAGATTTGTATGAGAAAGCAGCCAATTTACTGAAAATTTATTCTATTCTCTCTGCAGCTTACACAATGACAACCTACCAGGAAAAATAAAAAAAGCACACTGCAGTATGTAGGCATATCACAGAAGGATTGTGCTGGAGAACCGCAAGGCAGGCAACAGGGAGCTTTTGGTAGCTTTGGGTGAGTTAAATTCATCCCATCAGCTCTGTCTTGTTTTTTCATTCTACAGACTTTCATCAACAGCAGTCACCCCAGCTGCTGTTGAGCCTGGAGATGAATACCGAAGAGTCTGAATTTATTCCTTAAATCCACATCTGGATTTAAATAAATACCTCAGTAGAAGTTCAACCTATTCAACATAACATTGGCATTTCAGGCCACTCTGCAAAACACACAGGATCTGTGCAACTGGAATTGTGGTTTATTTACCCATAACATTTACAGTGCTTGGATTTAATTTATCCTTCAGATGAGCATCTTCTGGTAAAACTGGGACTAGAAACTGATAAGATTTCTTCTTCAATAGATTTTTCTTTGACTGTACTGGAATTGTTCCTGGCTGGTCTCTTCACCAGACATCTCAACAAATGAAATCCGAATTGTTGGAGCTTCAGGTTGTCTTACTTCTTGATTCTTATTAATCACATAGTCAGCTTGCAACTTGTATTTACGATATTATGATAGGAAGGGAAAAACCTGAAACTTTATTCAGCCACCGCACTCATTCATTGAATCTCTTAATACTGAAACTTAATGTTTCAAGTATGATAATGACTGTTGCTGGGAGGAAAAGAAAAAAGGAAAAGGAAAAGGAAAAGGAAAAGGAAAAGGAAAAGGAAAAGGAAAAGGAAAAGGAAAAGGAAAAGGAAAAGGAAAAGGAAAAGGAAAAGGAAAAGGAAAAGGAAGAGGAAGAGGAAAAGGAAAAG